TAGCAAAAGCTTATTATGCTAAATGTGAATTTACAACTAAACATGAAATTAGACTGTATAATACTATATTATTTTTTTAAAGGATACTTTTCTTATCATAAATTTTATCCCAGGACAGGATATATACATAATTTTCCCCAACTACTAGCTCAATATATTGAGATTAAAATTTTTAAAGCTATTAAGCCATTTTTAAATATGTTAGTTTGATTTTAATACCTATATTTTTATTTATAATCAATTTATGCTCAATCTTCCCCCTGCCAGGTACTGATATAATCTTTTTTTAAATATTTTTTAATGTTTATTTTTTAGTTGTAGTTGGACACAATACCTTTATTTTATTTATTATATGTAGTGCTGAGGTTTAAGCCCAGGGCCTCACACATGCTAGACGAGCACTTTACCGCTGAGCCACAACCCCAGCCCTCTGACATAATCTTTATTGATTAAATAGTTGAAAAGTAAAAGATGGCCACATACTAAAAGTGATCTTGCATTTTATAGCAAACTGAGTTTTCCCCCCACATTTTTAAATTGGTGCATTATAGTTAAACATACTGATGAGGTTTATGCCCAATTTTGATATCTCAAAATACATTAAAAAGTTAAAAAGTCTTACGTTCACCTTAACTAATATTTTTAGCTACATTGGGTATAGATCAAAACTGTATAATCCATTATTTTCAATCATCTCCATTCTGAACTAAAATCCTCTCAGAAGTGAAAGCAGATGAACTTTCAGTTTGATTTGACACATATATTCTCTAATTCTAATACTGAAGAAAGATGAATGTCATAGGTCTTGAGAAGCTGCTAAGAGATATGGCAGCACATAGCTTCTGTAACTGTTGAATATGCTTCAGTGAAAGCAGTCAGAGAGGTTAAATGTATACACTGTACAAGTCATCAACCATCAGAATGGTATTATTGATGGGGAGCAAATGGTGATTGTCCTCACTGAAAGTAATTGTCAAAGACACAAGCAACTTCATGTTAATTAAAGTTAGAACCATTCACAGAATGTTCATATTTAAAAATATATACTGAAAATCTGTTATGTTCAAGATATTGAAAAACTTATTCTGAGTACTATATATGTAGGGATATTTCCTTTACTGTTTTCATTTAGATAGTACCTAGAAAATGAGTTCATCTGTATAGAAACCTGCCTTCTAAGTTTGTTTTACAATAACCAGAGAACACTATAACTTCTTGATAGTCAGAATATAGTAACATAGCTATTCTCATAGCTATCTCTTTTATTCTGTTAAATTTTTAAAATATTTTTGAATGTTTAAAGGAAATTTTAGGAATAATTCTTCCAAAAGTAGTTTATCCAATACTTGACTATATTGCAGTACTAATAAGATTTAATTACAGAAAGAATGAGTATGTTATGTATTTTTTGGAAGATTCAAGAAAACTGTTTTTGGCACCTAAAGAAACCTGTGAGTGGATATAGTTGACACATTAAGCACAAGATAAAGTGAATTTGCAGATAGAACACCATCACCAGTCTGATCATGACCTTACATTCATGTGACAGTCTAAGATAAAGAAAATATTGTGTGATTTGAAAATGTTCAATATGAATAAAGCTGGGATAAACTGGCTATAAATTTTCAGTGATTTTTACTTTGGAGATTTGTGTTTTTAATATTCTAGCAACATGATATCTTTTTTATTCAAGTTTCATGACCCTATAGAATGGTCAGATGGACTTTATAACTCCCTTTAAAGTGACACTTTTAAAATTAAGTTGGTATTCTAATACTTGATTCAGAATAAGCTAGAACGTAAATGGAATACAAATTCATTATAGTGAATATGATAGATATATGTAATTCTTTTCTTGTTTTTCTTTTTTCTTTATTTTTTTAACAGTACTGGGAATTGTACCCAGGGCCTTGTGCATGACAGGCAAACACTCTTTGACTAAACAACATACATCTCAAGCCCTTTTTATTTTTTATTTTGAGACGGTCTTGGTAAGTTTTGTCAGGCTGGCCTTGAAATTGCAATCTTCTTGCTTTGTCCTCCCTATTATCTGGGATTATGGGCATGCACAACCATACCTGGTTCTAACTCTTTTTGTAAGAAATTTTGTGTACTTAGGGCCTAAGTTTTACCTCTAGCTTTGTCTCTTCATTAACTATAAACATTGAAAGTTTTTTTTTTGTTGTTGTTAACTTCTCTAAATCATAGTGTTCTTATAAAATGGAGTTATTAAAACTTCTGTCTTAGAGGTTTTGCTGTTCTTTGTAAAGAGGAGGCATTATTATTTTGATCATGTTCTTACAGTAGGCTTATGATTATTTTTCCCTTTGTACTTTGTCCAGAGATTTCTTACAGTACCAAGATTAGAAAAGAGCTGCCAGTGTGCACTTCAGTATGGATTGGAGTCTGAATGGATGATCTGAATAGAGGCCAAATGAAGAGGAAATTTGCATACCACAAAAAATAAGAGTTAGACTTATTTAACATATGTTCAGGGACTTGATTTTTTTAATGGGTCATTGGTTTAAAAGCTGCCTACCCTGTCTATAATTCATATAATTTGATTACAGTTCCTATGATTCCTGGTCATAGAACAGCCAAGGAAGATACTGGAGTAAAAAATTACTATTGTTTGGAAATAGCTTTTTTATATTTCCAATAAGTTATCTTGGGAATTGGAAGTCCTCAGCTTCAGTTCTAAGTTAGTCACCTTTGGCAAATCATCTCTCTCTGAACTTCAATTTCCTTGTCTTTTTATAATGAAGAGGATTGAATAAGATAAACTTTAAGCTACTTTCTAGCTATAGTATACCATGCCTATAAATCCTTGATGTTGAGTCAACTGCCTTACATTGAGTATTTCCTGTGTGCTAGGTGCTGTATAAATGGTTTTCTATGAATGTTCTGGGGCCAACTTCCTGATGCCCTTCAGATCAAGGCTTAAATACTGGAGGAATTAAAAGAATAAAGATGTTTAAGGAACAAAAGAGGTTAGGCACTGGAGAGGGTCTCTGAATAGAATGAAACTAGCCATAACAATTGAAAACCCTTCAGATGTTTATAGCTATCTCTGAAATGTAATCAGATTGATAGGCATTGAAGTCCAAAAATGTTCCAGCTAGTTAAATATTTCACTCAAAGCTGGCCATCCTGACAACCTTAGTTTCTTAGGATAAGTTTTCCTGATTTAAATGTCTAGAATCACTTAGTGCAGATACATGAACTATCTAAGGATGTGTACAGATGCCAACTTTTGATTATCCAACTTGGTAGAAGAAAAAACATTAAGAATCCATTTAGGAACCTTCTCTCTTTTTCCACAGCTAGTTTATCTAAGTCCTTTTTGTCTAAATGTGTCATGTAGATGAGGCTGTTTAGTAGAACTGCAGAGAACTTATGTAGGAATGCAAAGATAATTAAAGACTGGTTGCATTATGGTGATAGTCATTGTTTGCCCTGTAGAATAAAATGATAGCATTTGTTCATTCAAAAGTATTCATTACTTTTTATGTTCAAAACACAAACATATCTTCCCATTCTTTCTTTGTTTTCCATCAGCAATCATGAATCATGTCAGATACATTGAAAGAAGGTCAAAACTAAATAATGCATTTATGTATCAAAAATATTTTTAAGTATACAAATATTCACCCAATAATATATCCTTAAGGATGGTACGTCTGATGCATACACAAGAGAATACATATGCAGTCATCTGCATATACAAATGTGTTTGTGTGTACACTTCATATATGTAAAATATTTGCTTATATATGCTCCAAAAAGACACTTGAACCTAGAGGGTAAATAAACATGAGAAATCTGGGTTTATGCCTGCACATGTGTATGTTTGTGAATAAGTATGGGGGTGGGTGGAGGCATGGCAAAATAAGTGAGAAGGAGGGCAAGGGGGGGAAAGATAAGGAAGGGAATAAACAGTGTTCTTAGAAGGAACCACAGTAGTTACTAATTTTCACTATAACTTCTACTACCCTATCCTTGTTTTCTGCAGAGCTCTAGCTAGTACACCATTATTCAGCCTATCAGCTGATGTTATCAGTGAAAATTGACTGCCCACTAAAATTTAAAAAAAGAAAAAAGAATGACTTCAGTTTTAAAAATACAAAAACATCCACAGACATTAGAGGAAGTAGTCCTTATGTGCTCCAACAACTGTGATAAAGATAACTTGCTAAAAGTCCTTCCACAGCAGGGAAAAAAAATTAAATCTCAGGGATTTTTTTCCTCTACAGGCCAGAAACCCATTCCAAGAAGTACCAGCCTGTTTCATTTCAAAATGCTCTCCTTACCAAGGAAGCGGAAGTGGTCATATTCTTTCCCACCAAACCATGGGTGAATTATAATTATCCTACCTCTTGTGGGACAATGAAGCAGCAAACATCTGCTATACTGAATCAAAAACCCACGAATGAAACTATACCAAACTCTGAATCATACCTGGACTCAGATTAAAGGATCTGTATTGTGTTTACTACCTTTTTTTCTTTTTCCTTTGCAATTTAAAAAGGATTTGTTAACTGTGGCACCAAGTTCTAAGGGGAAATATGGATTTCATTTGCTGAGTCCATTGACTAACATTGAAAAAATTACAGCTTTAAAGCAGATGAACAATAATATTTAATAATATTTTGTTTGGTTTGTTGGTTTATTATCCCCTAACATTTTTTTTTCCTTTAAAAGGATGGTCTAGTAAGAAAATTTAGAAGTACATAGTCTTAAGAAATTCGGTCTTTTAGTTTTAGTTTCAATAACGAAGTAGAAATAAAATTTTAAACTTTATTTCCAAAAGAAGCAAGTTTCACAGCTACTGTTACTTATCATATGTGTCATGGTATATAATGTAGCACTTGGTAGTACTTAACTTTATTTGCCTGGGGTAAGGAAAGCAGAATAATACTTCAAACTTAAGTTTTAGCTGTGAAAATGTATGTAATAGTCTACTTCCTTGAAAACGTTTTGTCTTTTCATTTTTTCATTAGAGGGCAGAAAGACAGACACGAAGTATGGATTCAGCTCAATACGCAGAGTTTTGTGAAAGTCGACAATTAAGCTTCTGTAAGTATGCATTTAACTACTTAATTATATGTTAATGTATAAGAAATTTGTGTTACAGATGCATAAAACTGACATGTTCTTTATTCCTTAGAAATTGGTATTTAATATATACATAGTTGTTGCTGTTACAGAACAACTTGCATTTTGGGGGAAACCTAAAGATTTTACAACATTCTACTGTTTTGCAATTAATACTATTAAGAGATTTTAAAGGGCACTAGTAATATACAGAGTTATGTTAATTATTCATATTACCTTTAGTCAGAAAGGTAATTTTAATTTCTTTTCCAGTTTCTTGGTCATATTTATGCTAGTGTTGCTGATTCTAGTTGATCCACAATGGACTCCAGTAGTACAGTCATGACATTTAAACGCCCCCAGTATTAATTATAATACCAAACTTTGCCTTTATGCATACTCATATTTCCACAAATGAGCATATCAATAGTCTTTTCCATTTTTGTCTTTAACCTCCTGCTGTGGCATGCATTCAGCATTAGCCACATTCATTAGTCCATACTCTCCTAACATGAATGACCTACCAGTATTATTAGTGCTTAACCATCATTGAATACCAGCTTATTAAAAGTACATAAAGACTCATCGTAGTGAACTGGATTATGGAGCAAAACATCTTCACAGCAACTGTTCAGTGATGACTAAGGCTCTTGGGGTAAAGGTCAGGGTGAAAGTGTGATGAAAAGTCCAGTTAAAAATATGACAAAGTAGCACATGACATTGATTTGAGGGATTATAGAAACAATGATGTCTTTAAACAAAAAGCTATTATCTGGTCATAATAACAAAGTATTTGATTTGGAAAAAAATGAGAGCTTCATTTATAGATCATAAAGTACAAATGAATGACACATTTCAAATAGTGCCCCATGTAAATGTCAGAAAAATATAGGAAAACATGTTTTGAAAGATTTTTTTTCTAACTAAATATACTTTCCAATCTGACTAACAACTTGGCATGCATCTGTGAAACATTAAGTAAATGACACTTCAGATCATGGCAATTTCAGCAAATGAGAGGTTTTTGTATCATAATTTTTAGGTTTAAAAATGGCATTCAAGTCTTTTATAACTATAAATCTCCACTTTATAAAATAACATTTGGTGCAATATAACTATTTTTTAAATCATATTTTAAATTTAATTCACTTAAAGGAATAGAAGTAGTATTTTACACTAAAACTGACAATCTTAAATTCTCATACCTTTCATTTGAAAATTAGATTTTTGTTCACTTTTTGCTTTTAACACAAAAACTAGATTAAAAGTAACATTTCCCCCTCTATAAAATAATTGTGTTTTTTAAATTTTTTTTTCAGTTGTAGTTAGACACAATACCTTATTTTATTTATTTTTATATGGGACTGAGGATCGAACCCAGAGTCTCACACGTCCTAGGCGAGCGCTCTACCACTGAGCCACAACGTCAGCCCCAATAAAATAATTGTAATATAAACAGTACACTATGCTTAATTTTCTTTTCTGTAGGAAAGAAGGAATTCATTATTTAAAAATATTTGTTCAAATGGTGTCCATAGAGGCTTCATTATGAAACCTTGGTGGAATGATCTGTTTTATATGATAGAATACTGAGGTTGAGAATACATTGTACAAGTGAGTCACCAAATTTAGAAAGCCATTGCTGTACTGGTTAGAAATTCAGGTTTTTTTCCTTCTTCTCCTGATAAATAATCACCAGAATATAGGAATTGTGATTCTACCATATATGTCTTCTTACATACTTGTTCATGGCAGTTACTGGTATTATTTTAAAATAGTGAGTATCACTTTTTGGGCAATGGAGCAAAACATCTTTACAGCATGAGTTCAGTTATGACTAAGGCTCTTGGTCTGTCTTTTGTTTGTATATTTATATAATTCAGATAGTCATTTTACTTAAAGTCTTTAACACCCCCCACCCCTTGTTTCTGTGCTTGGGCTCTTTCTCATTCTATGAGGAGGTCCACAGAACAGGGTAGAGGAGAGTGTGGCTGCGGAGTTGCTAATCAAGACCTCCAGAGACCAAGCAGGAAGCAGGTCTGATTTATTGCGCAGTTACCATGTATATATATTCAGGCAGTAGCTAAGCAGATTACAGGCAGCCACCAATACAATTTCTGGCCAACAGTTCCTGCAGTGACCAATCGAGGAGCGGGCATATAGCAAGTGCAGGGACTGCAACACGTGGCCTCATGCTCAGGGCTGTGCCTACGGGGTAAGTGGTTTGCCACTTACATGCCTAGCATGGGAGAATGGTTTGCCACTCAGAAGCCCTTAATGTATGCCATGTATGCAGTACTCTATGCACTTGTCCCCACATGTCTGTCTGTCTTTCTGTGTGTCTCTCCGTTTTTTTTTGTTTTTTTTTAAGTACTGGGAAATGAACCCAGAGCCACATCCCAAACCACCCCCCACATTTTGTTTGAGACAGGGTCTAAGTTGCTGAAGCTGATCTTAAACTTATGATCCTCCTGCCTCAGCCTCCCAAGTTTCCAGGATTACAGGTGTGTGTACCCCCACTGGCTAAATCTTTTAAAACTTAACATTAGCATTGACTCACAATGGTTTTTCTGGCAAATCATATTGCAATTCTTTCAAGCATTATTTTTATTTTTTTCTGAACAATTATTACCTAGATTTTTAAAAATCAATCTGATCTAAGAGTCTCTTTTAGCTGATGAGTTCAAATTGTATCTACATTTGATTTTATATGTACTGTTATATTTTGTGTTTTAAATGTACTATGTGTTTTTATTTATTTTTCCTCCTCCTTTTCTGTGTTCTGTTGGATTCATATGGTTTTATTCATTTCAGTTTTTCGCTACTAGTTTATTTATCTTACATTCTGTTGTGCCATTTCAGTAACTACCTTTATTTTTTAACTTTATACCCCTGATAATATTTTAAAATATTAATAATTTAAACTTTTCTTTGGGCCTAATGTCATTATTCCTGAGACTCTGAGTGATCAAAGTACTCATTTTTGTCTTGAAATGGCTTTATTTTCTTGCCATAATTAAATGATTATCAGGTGGGCAGGAAATTGTGTATGATAGTTATTTATATATATATGATTCCATTCTCTTTTTGCCTCTGTTAGAAAACTGCTGTCCATTGACTTGTTCTGTATTTTTCTTGTGAGAGTAGCTTTAAGAGAATGAAGACATTGCCTGAAGGCCCTCTGTTATTGGGAAATGAGCAGGCTAGATAACCAACCATAGCTGCCCATTGAAGACATATAGAAAGAAGGGAATAAGGAACCCTTACTCTGGAGGTTCCAGAGGAAACCTTTCCCTCTGAGGAAGGCTATTTTCAATTAATGCAAAGAATAGTAATTTCAAAGGGTTGAAGTCACAGAATTCTTAGTGAGAACAGATGTAGTAGAAATCATGAAATATTAGTCAGGGGTGGGAGAAAAGAATTTTGTTAGAAACTTAAATTTGTCTAGTAATTATTGATAAGAGATATAAAAAGTGTATGAGATTAACCTTAAATTTCTGTATGAAATTATAATGTAAAGTTGTTCTAAATGTAGTCTAGTATTAGAAAGCTGATAACACTAGGAACTTTTGGACATTGTTCAGAATTCTACTTAAGTTATTAGTCAGTTTCCAGATTACCCATTTTCCTGATATATGGGGAAGAGGAGTAAAGAAGAAACTCATTTTTTTAGAAGCTCCTTCAGCTCTCGGTGAAAATGAACTGTTACAGCTGGGGATCATTGTGCTGCTTTTGGAAAAACCAATAATATCCTGGAAGCATCAGTCTCTGAAGCAGTCCTTTTCCAGACGACAGGGAACAAATGGCTCAGAGAATGTTTGTTCACTTGTTGATGGACAGCAATAATGCGTGGTTTATGGGAAATCTGTGCATCTTTTTTGATACATAGAAAAGTTTGGACTCTGCCTTTTTGTTAAAGAAATATCTTTTTCTTTCCTTTCTTCATTTCTTTTAGAAATACTTTCTTGTGAGTCTGCCAAGGAAAGGCATTATTTTATTTTCTGAGGATACAATGGTGGAGTCATAGTCCTTGTTTCTGTGCTTATAGTCTAGTAAGGAAGCTACTAATTCTTTTGCTTCTATTCATAGGTCTGACCTAATACTAATAATTATCCTTTTCATAACTTTCAAAGTAAAATTTTTAGAGCATAGTCACTAAATATCTGTTTCTGTGTTCCTAATGATCTGCCAAAGGGAGAAGTAAATAAGGTACATTTCATTGATCTTACCAGATTGCTTCCTGGTGACTTTAATTCTGTCAGAAGTATTTCAGAGATGTCTAGCAAGTGTTCATGAGCTGTTGCAGCTTACTAGATAGATGGAATGTTTCATGTCTGAATATGTGGAAGATGAGTTACTGTAGGGAGATAACTTTAAGGGGGCTAATCATAATTCTGCCACATTTGACAGCTTTAGAGATAGCAGGATTTCATGTCTTCTGTGATTTATTTAAAACAAAACTCTTCTGTATATGGAATCCATGAAGATTCTATCTGTAAGGATCAAAATGCCATGCTTTTAAGTTATTATTAAGTGTTCTGTAGACCAGTGGTATGATGTTAATCTAAAGAATAATAAGTAGCTTTTTTTAAACATCATGTAGATTTGATAAAAAAAAAATTTTCCCTATCAATCATTTTCCCTCTAGAGTACTATTTAAATTAGTAATGTCTAGGGAAAGCTCTATATCAAATTAGTACTGTGGCAGTTTGGATATAGTTAGTTGACGGTCCCTTATGTTTCTTGGTCCCATATATGCTTGGTACTGTTAGGTATGCAGAGAGACCTGATTCATGATCTTTACCCACAAAGAACTTATAATATGGTTTGAAAAATGATAAGCACATATGAAAGATACCCTGTATTTTAATACATGGCTAGAGTGTGAAAGTATATCCATGACTTATATGGTCAGAATTCATATGAATGATGAAGAGAGATGGGAGAGCAATCCATGGAAGGAAAGGAGCAAGAATGACCATAAAAAGGGTTAAATCCAAGGCCACATGACAGCTAAATAGGGAAGCAATGTAAAGAAAGGCTGGAATCAGCCTGAATGGTTTTGAGAGTCAGGTTTCAGAATTTGGGCATCTTAATCTGGAAAACATAGCTACAAGTTTAAGTCAGGCCAGATATCAATTTATTTTATTCTAAATTAAATAAAGGGGAAGGCAGGGGGCATGGGGTTATTAATGATGGTGGAATGTGATGATCATTATTATCCAGAGTACATGTATGAAAACACGAATTGGTGTGAATATACTTTGTATACAACCAGAGATATGAAAAATTGTACTCTATATGTGTAATAAGAATTATAATGCATTCCACTGTCATATATAAATAAAAATAAATAAATGAATTCACAACTTTGAATTTTTTCGTATAATAGACACATTTTGAAAAGTGTTAGATGGGCAGTTTCTGTATGTTTCTTTCTTCATCATAGGCTTTCTCCTAGTTTTTTATTTCCACGAGTATAAATTAAAGTTACATCAAGCTAGCATGATAGTGCATGCCTGTTAATCCCAGTGACTCTGGAGGCTGAGGCAGGAGGATTGCAATTTTGAAGCCAGTGTCAGCAACTAAAGAGACCCCTAATCAACTTAGAGATTTAAAAAGGCTGCAATGTGACTTAGTGGTTAAGCACCCCTGAATACCAAAATAAATAAATTAAAATAATAAAAAAGAAAAACGTTACATCAAACAAATCTCTGTTGATGCAACTTAAGCAGTGGCCAGTGGTAACATATTTTGAAGCAATATGAAAAGTACTAAACTTTAAGTAGTTTAGTATACTGTCATGTACCACAGATTCAGAATAAAATGCATAGGGATTTCTTAAAGGCAGCCATTGTGATGCGTTGTAATCAAGGGTTGAAACTTGTACATCTTTTCCTTACCTTGGATGAGCAGGGGATGTACCAGAGATTGAATCCAGGGGCATTTAACTACTGAATCACATCCCTAGCCTTTTTTAATTTTTAATTTTGAAACAGGTTCTTGCTGAGTTGCTTAGGATTTCCCTAAGTTGCTGAGGCTGGCCTTGAACTTGCCAATCCTCTACCTCAGCCTCCTGGGTCTCTGGGATTCAAGACCTACTACACCACTGCGCCTGGCAAAACTTGTATTTCTTGGGTCTAGAAAACCTCAAGGTCATTTTTTAATGCAGAAAATGGATGGCATTAGAGCAGATTATGCTAAGTGAAGCTAGCCAATCCCTAAAAAACAAATGCCAAATGTCTTCTTTGATATAAGGAGAGTAACTAAGAACAGAGTAGGGACGAAAAGCATGAGAAGAAGATTAACATCAAACAGGGATGAGAGGTGGGAGGGAAAGGGAGAGTGAAGGGAAATTGCATGGAAATGGAAGGAGACCCTCAGGGTTATACAAAAGTACATACAAGAGGAAGTGAGGGGAAAGGGAAAAATAATACAAGGGGGAGAAATGAATGACAGTAGAGGGGGTAGAGAGAGAAGAGGGGAGGGGAGGGGAGGGGAGGGGAGGGGGGATAGTAGAGGATAGGAAAGGCAGCAGAACACAACAGACACTAGTATGGCAATATGTAAATCAATGGATGTGTAACTGATGTGATTCTGCAATCTGTATACTGGGTAAAAATGGGAGTTCATAACCCACTTGAATCAAAGTGTGAAATATGATATATCAAGAACTATGTAATGTTTTGAACAACCAACAATTAAAAAAAAAGAAAACCTCAAGGTCAAAATATTGCTTTGCTTTTATGGGCATTATTCTTTGTATACAATTCTCAGGAAAGGTGTTTTTCAATTTATGATTATATATGCAGTATTAAGATACTTTAAAAATTAAAATTTTCCACTTGTTTTTAATGACTAGCCAAAAAAGCTTCCAAATTTCGAGACTGGTTGGACTGCAGCAGCATGGAGATAAAACCCAATGTTGTCGCTATGGAAATTTTAGCTTATTTAGCATATGAAACAGTGGCACAGGTAAAAATTCTAAACTGTCTGTCAAACCACACAGGGCTGGTTTCTCATTTTTGTCCTTGATCAGTTCTACTTACACCCTCTGCTCTACCATCCATGAGTTCTTTTCTGTGACAGTTATATCATTTACTAAAATTTAGTTCAGTTATGTTTCTTTGTATCCTTAGCTCTGGTGGGTGTTAGGGTAGAAAAAGATTCTAATTATTCTTTTTTTTAATAGTTTTTTAATTGTAGATGGACACAATACATTTATTTATTTATTTACTTTTATGCTGAGGATCCAATCCAGTGCCTCACACTTACTAGGTAAACTCTGTACCACTGAGCCACAACTCAAGCCCCTCTAATTGTTCTTGAAATTGAACTCTGAAGTCCTCATCTGCCTTTAGAGATACTGTTTGAAGTTTGGAAAAATGCCTGTCTAGGTATGTGAGGTCTCCTAGTGCTCAACAAAATCTGGATCTGGGATCACTGCCATCTGCCAGTTTCTCCAATTATTACCAACCCCTCTGTACATGTTTACAGTGGGAACTCCCAGACTACCCACTTAGAACAGACCTACTAAACTAGAATCTATGGGCTTGTAGCCCAAAAATCTATATTTTAAAATGCTTCCCTACTGATTCTGAAATGAGCTTTGAGAATTACTTCCCTAGAAAGTCAGAATATATCATTTGTATTCATAAGTACGTCATGAATTTTATCAATTAGTGAAAGTCTGTGCTCATGTCCACAATACAGATTTTTAGATACAGTATTGTCAATAACATTTTGAATGTATTGCTTTTAGGTTCACCACTTTAATGGTATTCATTATTTTCATTGCTCTGATCTTCTAGTTAGTGGATCTGGCTCTTCTTGTGAGACAGGACATGATAACCAAAGCAGGGGACCCCTTCAGTCATGCCATTTCTGCAACTTTCATTCAGTATCACAACTCTGTTGAGGTAAGTTTCAGAAAATCTGACTTTAAGACATTGGTGGATTTTGTTATGTGTCTGTGTTTACATTAGTAGTTCTTTGAAAAAGATTAGTAAAGTATAGCCTTCAGTCAAAAAAACTTTAAAACATACACCAAATAAACATTTATTGAGAACTTACTATATGCCAGGACTTAACAGTCTACTTACTAGAACAATTTTTGTTTCAATTTTTCTTTTCCTCACTTGACTTTCCTAGACCTTCAGTAAAGGTGGGATATTTGCAAAGCATTTTTCATTTCCACAGAAAATAAACAACTGGTTTAGTTAATTGAATAACATTGGGAAAAATTATTTCTTTTTGCCTCAAAGATGAGAGAATTTGGCTGGGATGTAGCCTGGTGGTAGAAGAGTGCTTTCCTAGCATGCACAAGGCCCTTGGTTCAGTCCCCAGCACCTACCCATAAATTAGAGAATTATTATTCATATAATTACTGATTTATTGAAATTTATTAAAAGCTTCCCATTTAATTTATTGATTCATGTATAGACATGATTTAAACACACTTGGCTCATTAGCTTTAGATTAGCCTATCATGTAAAAATCAGATTCTTTTCTGATCTGTTTACGCTGATGGGCTTCCTATTTATGGGGACTATAAAGTCTTCTTTCCAGTTTTAAACATTTACATAATAATTTTCCACAACTTTTAGTATATCGAATATTTTCTGTAAACAGCATGTGCTTAAAAGCCAGAAATAAAATATAACATGTTGAATATATTTGCTAGTATCTGACCTCTTTTTTGCTAACAAAAACCAGTAGTTTCTTATAGTTAAGTCAATAACTATAGAAAAGACATCAAAAATAGTAACATCCAAATGTATAATCACAAAATGGATTTTAGATCATGTGAAGTGAAATGTTTAACCTGTTTGAAAATTACAAAGCCCTGTGTTATATCTGTACCTAAATTATAAATGTCTGCTTCTTGTTAATATCTATAGGTAAGACTGATGACTAAAATAGTTTCTAAGAAGTAATTCTAATTTGTTTTAGGCCACACCTCTTTGAAAATCTGATGAAGACTACAAACCTCTTTTCCATAAACATATTTGCCAATTTTGCATACAATTTTATGTTGTTCAGATACTTCTGAATTCATCTATGATCTAAGGAATCTATAAACCCTATGAATCCCAGGTTTAAATATCTTACTTTACGGTATTTAGAAAATATATTAAGATATCATCTTATTACATACTAAAAAGTCAACTTGATGTCTTTTTATATCTCTTGGAGAATCAGATTGGCTTGAAATCCAAGTAGGAATTAAATGTTTATGCCCATTAAAAATCCATTTCTTTTCTTGGAAAAGGTCATACATTATTATCAGCCAGCATACTTTAAAAATCCCTAAAGCTTACTTAGTTGATTAAACACTGTTTTCTTTATGTTTCAAACCCAAATTATGATGTCAAAGAACACCCTTTAAAATGTCTTTGATGCACATTCACTTTATGAATGTGTATATAAGTATGCTTTCCATTAACATCAGACAAATTTGTTTTTACATTTCTAATTGAGGAAATTTACTGTGAACATAACAAGGCTAGTTTTCCCTTAACATTCAAGTGATTGCTTGCATGGCTAGGAAGGTTCTTTGTGTTCCCCACCCTGCTTGGTTCTCCAGGGTGGCCAAGCTGCCCTGGGCAACTGCTCAGCAACCACAGCCTCTGTTCCCAGCTACATGGCAGTTAAGAAAAAAATGTCCTATGTATGCTGGATTTCCTGGGCTCTCTGAGAGGTGGGAACATGAGTGTCATTGAGCATCCTTACAGATTATTAGTATAAGCCTCAAGCTTTTCCTGGCCTGGCAGACACATTTCTTCCTCTGTGACTGGTAGTCAAAGTGGACATTCATAAAGACTGTCTTCTTTACTGCCCTTTATTACCTAATGAAACACAAAAGAATGATACTATAAATCAGAAATCTTAGTCATCAACACTGCAAATCAGCAGCCAATCTCTAGGGCCTGCACCTTAAGTAATGTACCAAAGTGGGTCCAAAGAGGTCTCTGGAGACTAATAGGAGCTGTGTTCAGGGAAACAGAACATTTTGTAAAACAAAAAAGCAAATAAATGAAAAAACAATTCAAGATAACGTAACAAAATGAGTGGCCCAAACAGAAAGTGCAGGGGTTGAAATAAAAGATTTTCTGATTCTCTCTCTTTTCCCTCACTCACACACAAACACACACACATTCCCCAGTTACAATCAGAAAGCTGAGTATTGAAGGGATGAGAACCTCAAAGTGGGGAAGATGTTCTGGGCCAGGGATGAAGCATAAGTATGATTATACATGGGAGGAAAAAAAACAACTCTGATTGAAATATACAAGCAACACGTTCATTGAGAAGGGATAGTAGCAGGTTTGGTTAGAAAATCATGGCCCAGACTATATAGGGTCTTAGAGTGCAGGAATCATTAAGAAGAATTTGAATGATTCTTGGCTGAAGGATAATGTGTTCAAAAGGATGTTTTAAGAAGATCCAAATGATTGTGCTAGGTTTAGTTGATTGGAATTGAAAACTTAGCATCATGATGTTAATGTTCAGTGCCTTACATTTAAAGGAAGATCATTCTTGAATACTAACCATAGATGGGATTGAGCAAGTTAAGCTTGGGTTCCTCATACTAGATTAGCAAGTTTAATATTAATTCAGGTTAATTTTCCAAGTTTTGTCCTAACATATGATTTGCACAGAGGTAGCTATGATCCCTAAGAGTTATGCAAATACTCCAAAAGAAAAAAAAATTCAAATATGAGACACTTCTGTTCCAAGCATTTTGAATAAAGAGATACTCAACCTGTATCTTGTTTTTCCAGGAACAAGTCATGGCAGGTTAGCCTCATTCCCTTTTGTTTAACAGTGGTTCTCGAAAAGATCAAGGAAATACTCTTAAAACCAGCATCCAAATTTTCAGCAAATCATTTTACAAAGTGTGGCATAAGTTTTTAATACATTATAGAAATCATGGACAGTAGATAGTATGGCTGGTATGGTTGATAGGATGAGGAATGTTTAGATTAATCATATCATACTAAAAAAAGGACAGATTTTTATTTGCTTGTATATGTCTGAGATGGCAATATTGTGATGCAACAAAGATTTTTTTAGTTTATTTTAGGTGCCATCCTTATTGGATTGACATTTACCTGGTGCAGAATGTCTAAAGGAAAGTAATGGAGATGGTGTGTTTGAAGGAGCATAAAAGCATATCTAATAATAACTGGTTGGAATTATTTAGAATATTTAACCATAAAAATGAGGCTACAATGTGTAGCAGTCTTCAATATTGAAGTGCTTCTACATGAAAGAAAGAACAGACATGCATTCATGACCCAAGAAAGTAGATAGTTATTAGGAATATCAGAATGGAAAGGAAGAAAGGAAGACATTGCATGTGGAAAGGACTAGAGTAATCCACAGTGACTCTAAGGGTGAGTTTGAGTTACTGGGAAAATTCTAGTCACCATTGTCACAAATATCATCTAAAAAGCATCCTTTTAAGGAAACTTGTAAGACAGGTAAGTTTGAAATGCTAACAAAATTTCTATCTAACAAAACCAGAGGCTAAAAGTTTATACATGAAGAATTCTGATTTTGTCTAAATAATTAGATTATAAATTAATGTATTTAGAACCTCAACAACAAGATAGTCATTTCTATGGACTAAATAGGAATAATTTGTGTTTTCATATTTGAAAGTCATAAGTAACATGAAATTCATTAGCTATTTTTTTTAAAATTGTAATGTTAGTAAAGGGCCTGGTTATTTATTACAAAGCCATGTCTCTTTGGGCAGGGGTCTTGCATGAAGTCCTGCCCCGACTCTCCTGAGAACACGCCACCTCCTACACCAACAGCTCCATCATCTGGATCCCAGCACTCAGGGAGAACCACATCAGGATCCCTAGGGAGTGGGAGTGCTACACAGGACTCTACTAAAACCAAGCAGAGGAAGAGAAAAAAGGTCAGTGATGATTTTTTTTTCCCCCCCTGGTACAGAGTGAAAAGAGCCTTTAAGTTTCTTTCAGAGATAGGAAAAATGTACGGTTTTTCTCTCAACTCAAAATATTAGAAGTAACCAATTTACATTCACCCATTTTCAATGAGTTCTACTTAAACTTTTTAAACAACTGTAATCTGGATAAAGAGGATGCTGATTTTCTCTAAAATTTTACTATAAAAATCTTCAAACATATAGAAAATAAAAGAATTATAAACACTTCATATCTACCATCCAGATTCTGTAATTAACATTTAAGTATATTTATTAACTACATATTTACTGTATAACATTTACTATATCTATTTATCTAATCATCCCCTTTATTCTGTAGTTCATTCTTTTTAATGATACATTACAAAATAAGTTGCAGACATCAGTGCATTTTATACCTAAACAGTTTATTGTTTATAATTTATGGTTCCTTTTTTTAAAGGTAAAATTTATGCTCAGTGAATCATTTGATTCTTTTTTTTAAAATATTTTTTTAGCTTCAGATGGACACAATATCTTCACCTCTATTTCTGTGTGGTGCAGAGGATCGAACCCAGTGCTTCATGCATGCTAGGCGAGCCCTATACCACTGAGCCACAACTCCAGCCCCTTGATTCTTATGTGCACTGTAAAAATATAATTTTGACAAATACATTAACCTATGTTTTTCCAAAACCCTTTCAAGATACAGACCATTACCATCAGCTCAGAAATTTCCTTCATTTTTTCTCCCAATTATTGCCACTATCTTCTGAAAAGTAACCACTGTTACAATTTTTTACTATAGATTAGTTTATTATATTCTAGAACTTTAAATAAACAAAATATAATATGTACTCTTTTGTATGAAATTCTTTTACTTAGGAGGTTTTTTTAAATTTGTTTTTCAGTATAATGTAGTCCTCTTTATTACTGATGAATATTTCATTATATGAATATGTCAACTTATTCATTCTTTTGTTGGTGGATACTTGGAATATCACCAGTGTTTCAGGTAATGTGAATAAATCTGTTAGGATATTTCTGTGTTAGTCTTTAAATACAAATATTGTCATGTCTTTTAGGTAGATAGCTAAGAAGAAAATTGCTGGGTGGTAGAGTTATGTATTTTTGATTTTTAAAGAAACTGCAAGACCTTTTTTTTTTCCAAAAGGATTGAACCATATTATACTTCCACGAACAATATTTAAGAATTCCAGTTGTCCACATCCTGATAAACATTTTATGTTGTCATTGTTTTTACTTCCAGCCATTCTATTGAAAATTTAGTGGTAACAATAGTTTGTGCATTTCCCTAACTAACGATGTTGAACACTTTTTTTTTTTCCATTTAATGCTTTGTCATTCATATAGCTTCCTCTGAGAAGTAGTTGTTCAAATCCTTTATTCAGGTTTTTATTTTTTGTTTGTTTTATTATGTTTTGTTGGGCAGGGGGGGGTGTCACATTGACTTTTATTACCAATTCATAGGGATTTTTTTGTCATTTTTTATTTTTGGTGGTTTTTTTTTTTTTTTTTTTGTACTAGGACTGAACCCAGGGGTGCTTTACCCTTAGCTTTTTATCCAGATCTTTTTGTTTTTTATTTTGAGACAGTGTCTTGCTAAATTGTTGAGACTGATGCCAAACTTGCAATACTCCTGCCTCAGCTTCCCAAGTGGCTGAAATTACAGGCATGTACCTCCATGCCCAGCTATCAATTTATAGGAGTTTTTATATATCTTGAATTGTCCTTTGTCAAATATATACTTTTCACATATTTCCCAGTTTATGGCATACTGTTTATTGTCTTAATGGTATCTTTTGATGAGCACATGTTCTGAATTTCTGAAGAAGTCTTAATGGGTCCTAACCCAAGTCAGGGTGATATTTTATAGTTTTAGTTCTTGCTTTACTTTTATTAATTTGGGCAAATTAAGTTTTGTATATGTATAAGTTGAGGCCAAATCTGGTTTTTACATATGGATATCTGGTCACTGCAAAACTTTTTGTTCTTTTTTTTCTCATTGTTTGACAGCTTTGTTGAAAATCAAATGACCATATATCTATATGAATTTATTTTGGGGAATTCAACTGTTTTATTGGTTTGTCAGTATTGATTTCCCATCTTGATTACTATAGCTTTATAGTAGTATAAATACTCAAACTGTTATTTTTAATCTGTATGGGTATGTTATGTCCTTTGTATTTCTATAAAAATTTTAGCAGAAGCAGAGAAAAGAAAAAAAGAAATGGTTGGTGGCATGTTGAAAGGGATTGAACTGATTGCTTATATCCATTTGGGGTGTGAATTTCTAAGTGATATCAAGTCTTGTAATCCATGGATGTGAAATAATCTATTTATGTTTATGAAATTTCTCTTTTTCTTGCTGGCATCAGTATCCACCCTGTTGTCTGTTTTATCTGATTGATGTAGCCATTCCAGCCTTCTTACGGTTCTTGTTTTTTTTGTTTTTTTTTTTTTTATAATTCAATTGCTTTTCATTTCATTGTGTCTGTGTCTTTAAATTTAAAGATAAATATATTTGAAGTGTATCTCTTGTCAACAAACAATTGGGTCTTACTTTTTTATCTTTGCTTTCTGCCTGCATATTTTAATTATGGTCTTTAATTCTGTGACATTTAATGCACTTGTTGACATAGTTGGATATGGGACAACTACTTTCTATATGTTTTTGGCTTTTATGTCTATTTGTACTTTTTGTTTCTCTTTTCTCCTTATTGCCCTCTTTTGGGTTAATTGTATAACTTTTTAGAAATTAATTTTAAGTATCTGTTGGTTTATTTATGATAACTTCACATACTTTTTTTCAGTAGTTATGCTAAGGATTAAATTTTCAGGATTTAAAAAGATGTATTACAAATATATTACATCTACATATGTTGTAAGCCACAGTATTACAATTTTTGCCTTAAGTAATCAAATATATTTCAGTGAAACTGAGAGAAAAAATAGACTTAACATTACCATTCCCACAGTTGTTTTTCTTTCTGATGATCAGAATTCCTTTGTTATCATTTTTCTTTTGTGTTCTGCTAAATTTCAACTTTTTTATAGTGTTGATTGGCTAATGATAATTTTATCTTAGTTTTCATATTTCTGAAAATATCTTTACTTTCATTCCTGGAAGATATTTTCACTGTAGAATTGTAGGTTGGGAACTTTTTTTTTCAGTCTTTTAATGCTGTCACTCCACTTCTTTCTGGCAACCATTATTTTAAAATATAATTCAATAAATATGTATTATTGGTTTTCTGTATGCATTGTGTTTATCTTGATGCTTTCAGAATTGGGTCTTTATTTTTATCTTCAGCAACTTGACCATCATAATGATAGGAATGGTTTTCAAAACTTTGTACTTCTCCCGCCTACAGTTCACTGAGCTTCTTGAATGTATAAATTTATGTCTTTAACCAAGCTGGGGGAATTTTTGAGCAATTATTTCTTCAGATTTTTTCTGGCCTAATTTTCTCATTCATTTTTGAAATTCCAAGTACCTTATTATGTTAGTTTGTTTGGTACTGTTTCATAGGTACACGAAACTCTTTGATTTTTCGTTTAGTATTTTCTCTTCTTCTGATGGGATAAATTCTACTGATCTTTCTTTCTGTTCCAGCCTTTTTCTTTCTTCTCCCAGCTCCAATCTACTGTTGCATGCAACCAGAAATACTTTACTTCTCATATTTTACTTTTATACTTCTAGAATCTCTATTTGATTTCTTTTTTATAGTTTGTTTATGTGTTATAATTTTTATTTGTTCATTTATTGATTTTTGTTTATGCTCTTGAGCATTTTTATAACATCTGCTTTAAAATTCTTATTTGCTAAATTATATATCTGAATTTTCTTATTCTTCATTGAATATAGGTCACACTTTCTTGTGATTTTGCATGTCTGGTCATTTTCAGTGATATTGTAGATATTGTGAGTAATACATTATAGTTATTTATTTTTTTAAGAGAGAGAGAGAGAATGTTAATATTTTTTTAGTTTTTGGCGGACACAACATCTTTGTTTGTATGTGGTGCTGAGGATCGAACCCGGGCCGCAAGCATGCCAGGCGAGCGTGCTACCGCTCGAGCTACATCACCAGACCTATTATAGTTACTGTGGGATTCTGTTATATTCCTATGAAGAGAGTTGGTAGCAGTGGTGACAGTACATGTGTGTTAAGCAGAAAATTTATTCTTCTAGACTTACTCTAAACTTCAAACTTCTCTTTTGTGGCAACATCTAGAATCTCTGTTATCTTCTTTTAGCTTTAGCAGAATTTCATGGATTCAGTACCACACTGGAACAATTTAGGAGTTAGTCAAAGATTTGGGTAAAACTTATAGATTAAATTTGGGTCTTTGATTCTGTTCTTTTTTGAGACTTTCTTCCTCACTTCACACCTGCTTTGGTTTGCCTTGAACTCTGTCCTGTACTTTATCAAGCCTCTTGGGTTGTGTTTTAACCACTTCCATATCCACTGGAACCTGACCTTAGTAAAAGTGGAAATTCAATCCACTGCCATTCCCATCTTCTAAGAGTAGACACTCCCCCTTCCAGTTTCTGCCTGATTTGGTTAATCTTCAGTGCTTTCAAGTACTTGGTTTTTGTCTGAAGCTTATATTTTTATCTACAATTAGGTTAGTACAATAGGAACTGTTAGCTACTGCAAGTAGTGAAACCATATCAAGATATAATTTTATAAATGATAGTAAGCAAATTTAAATTTCATCCTCATTTCTGATTTCCCCTTTCATTTACAAAATGGCAGAGTTCATTGCTTATTTGTTAAAGGAAAATCTGAACTATGAGGGATTTCTGAATTGTAAAGTAGTTTTAAAGAATTTCAACTATTGTACTAATTTGGCTGATACTAAAACTAGGATTGCCTACAAGACCTTTTCAGTGGATTTGCTTTCCAAAGTATGTGAGAAAGAGTTGAAATTAGCCTAGTAATTATGTAAGCACAAGTATATAT